CCGATGCGGGACTCGATCCCGGGACTCCAGGATCATGACCTGAGCCGAAGGCAGTTGCTTAACCAACTGAGCCACCCAGGCGCCCCTGTTGCTGTTTTTTTAAACCCAGCACCTAGTAGGCTCTCAGGAGATATTTGGTGACTGACTGGTAAGGGCCCCTGGTACATCGCCTGGCCCGTGGCAGTCAGTTCACAGAGCTAGCTTCACTCCTCACGCTGCTACGTTCTGCATCTCTTCGATGTGCCCCCGGCCCTCTTTCTGTCCAGGCAGCCTGTCCTCTCTTCAGCCTGCGTGCCCCTCTTGCTTTGCCAGCCCACCCTTCCAGCCCCAGGGCCCTGCAGGTGCCCCTCTTGGGCTTCTGTTCCTGCCCCTCTCTGGCCATTTCTCGCTGATGAGTTCCAGGCACGGCCCAGTTCCTGGGATGACCCTGGGAGTTTGTCATCAGCTCTTGTGAGGAGAGAATTCTCTGTCAAGTAGGGAAACTTCCCTGTAAAGTAACAGGAAACCCTACTAAAGAAAGAGGAAGCTTATTGGTTCCTGTCACTGCCAGTCAAGGCACATCCCCTCACCCTACCCCCCCGCCCCAGGCCATCACAGAGTGGATTGAGGGGTGGCATGGGTACTCAAGGGGGGGTTAGTCAGGGTCCTCTCCGGAGCCCTTCCAGACTGTTCTAGCATTCTAGTGGCCGCTCCAGTTTCTGCGGCCAGCGCACTGCTTTTGTGAGCAGAGGCGCGCAGCTGGCGTGGTGCTGGGAGGGCAGTGAGACTCCAGCCAGCGGCCAGAGCACGGTGAGCAACACCTGCTGAAAGGGACGCGTGGCTGGGGGCCCCTCCTGCAGCCAGCAGCTGCCTGCACCCTCAGGCCCAGGGACAGAAGGAGGACAGAGAGTTTGCCAGGTAGAGAAATGAGGAAAGGATGCTCCATGCAGAGGGCACGGTCTGAGCACAGGCCTGGCAGTTGGCCATGGGGTCAGAAGGGAGCAGACCGGTGAGAGAGTGGCAGTCTCCCTCCCTTCTGGTCTGCTTAGCTTGTCTGTCACTCAAATCTGAAAATTGCTCTAAAGCTTAAAAACAGCGTCCCACCGTTCAAGCTTATAGGGTGTCATTTTAGAGTCTTTCTTAGAATCTGTTAGGGTTCCTAGTGGAACACAGGGTGGGGATGGGGGGCTCTGGAAGATGCCAGCAGATGATTTTCCATTCCCAGGAAGAGGCCTCGAGACTGTGACCGGTGTCCCCTTTGCGCCTCCCTCCCCAGCACGAGCCTGGGCCTGGTACACACGGTCCGCAGCGGGTTCTCGATTCCTGAAACTGTCTTGTATTTGCAGGTGCAAAGAGAAGAAATATGATTATGATAATCTGCCCACGACATCTGTTGTCATAGCGTTTTATAACGAAGCCTGGTCGACCCTCCTCCGGACAGTTTACAGTGTCCTCGAGACGTCCCCAGACATCCTGCTAGAAGAAGTCATCCTTGTAGATGACTACAGTGATAGAGGTGAGCCCCCGCCGTGGGCTCTTGGAGGGGCCTGGCCTTCCGTGGTGGTGCCTGGGAGGCAAAAGCATGACGGAGGGGTGGAATGTGTCTGGGCAGGACGGGCTTCCTGTGTGCCCCCAGGCCCGGCCCCTGCCCTCAGGGGGCTCCGAGCCTGCTGGGGATGCACGGGTGCTGACAGCTCTACCACATGGTGCTGCAGGAAGATGGGGCACTCGGGAATAGGGGCTGACCTTACATCTTGGAGGGTGAGTAGTTTGTGGGCTGCAAAGGTGGAGGGAGGGCTGCTGATGGAGGCACAGAAGGTGGGAAGGCTCAGAGGCACAGTGTCACATGAGTTGTGTAGGATCTGTAGGTAGTTCAGGAAGGCCAGAGGAGCAGCTGCTTCAAGGGGAGCAGGCAGAAGAGAGAGGTGAGACATGGGGAAGGGTGCAGGCATTAGACATGAGGTCAGACTGGGACTTTGTCCTGAGGGCAGGGAGACCAGAGGTGGGATTTTAAACAGGAGAGCGGTTTTGCACTTTGAGGGATCCCTCTAGGCCCAAGATACCTGTGGGTGGAGAATGGTGTATGGGGGAGCTCTGCAGGGAGGCCAGGGACTGTAGAGGTGGCCTAGGTGAGAGATGGAGGCTGGGAGTCAGGTGGGGGTAGAGGGGAGGGGTGGGGAGGGGGAGGAGGGACATTCGAGACATGACATCTGCAGGAGCTGCAGGCTTCTGGCTTGGGTCTCTGGGTGAGTGGTGGTGCTGTCCCAGAGCTGGAAAAGCCACCCAGGGCAGGAGTGACAGGTCTGGGAGAGGAAGGGGGGCATTTGGCTTTGGATGTGTTGAGTTTGAGATGAGATCAATAACGGGCAGCCCAGGGGTGCTTAGGTGGCTCAGTCTGTTGGGCGTCTGACTCTTGATTTCGGCTCAGGTCATGATCTCAGGGTCCTGAGATCAAGCCCGGCGTCAGGCTCTGTGCTCAGCAAGGAGTCTGCTTGCGATTCTCTCTCTCCCTCTCCCCCTTGTCCCACTCTCTCTCTCTCTCTCAAATAAATAAATAAATAAATAAATAAATAAATATTTTTAAAAAGGGGGAGGGCAGCCCAGACAGGAGAAGAACTGAAGCCAGGGAGAGACATTCCATTGAGAGGGTGGCTGGTGTCCCTACAGGCCTGACCAGTGACCTGGGGTGCAGCAATTCACATGCAGTCCAGGGCTGCCCTGATTTATTCAGTGAACACTTTGTGAGTTTCTACTGTGTGCCAGGCACTGTTCTAGGCACCAGGGATTCGGTGGGAAACACAGGTCCCTGCTCTCATAAAACTCACATTCTGGTGGGTGGAGATGTAGGTGGACATGGTCAATGAACATGTGAAGAATAATATAAGACAACACAACACAATGTAAAATAGCATAGCATAACATAATGATGCAGCAAATGTAATATAGCAAGGTGGGAAGTGCTGTGAAACAAAGTGGGAGCAGGAGAGTAAGTGGAGCTTGGTCACAGGCCCTCCGCTAGCTGGTGGAGGGCAGGAAGCCTCCCTGAGGAGGTAGTTTTAAGCCAGAAGCTGGGATGTAGAGAAGGAGGCAGCCCAGCAGCCGCAGGTGCGGGAAGGAGCTGGGGTGAGCAGGCATTCCTCAGGGCCGACCATCGGCCGGTGGGGAGGCGGCATGGGAGACGCGGTTGCAGGGGTGGGCAAGCCAGGCCAGTAGGGCCCTGGGGGCCACCATAAGGGGTGTAGGCTAAAATAGGAGCCTGATGGGAGCCGTCTGAGGGCCATTGAGGGAACAGGAAGGTCACTCGGTCTTGGGGTGTCTGCGCTGCCCCGTGGGGCATCGCCGATGGATGGGGGGGGCATCGGGGCTGCTATGGCCATGCCCTGTGCCACTTGACAAGCTGAGTGAGGGCAGGCTCAACTGAGGGGACATGTCAAGGCCATAGCCCGTTTCAAGCCAAATTACCATCCCTGGGCCACGCATAAGGATAGCAGCTCCTGCTTCCTGGGCATCTGCTGCTTCAGGCTCCGGGCCTGGCCTGTCGGACTTCAAAGCCTGGAGTATGTGTCCTAATTGGGGGGTGTGTTTGGCTGTTCTCACAGAGACTCAAAATAACAGTGATTTACACGGGATAAAAATGATGTCTCCCACATCACACATCTTGTGTAACTGTCTAGGGCTGGTGTGGCGGGCTTCACAGCGTCAGGGCCCCAGTTCCTTCTGCCCTGTAGCTCCACATTTCTCCAGGATGTTGTGCTGCCTTGTCTGCATGCTCCAGGCTGGTTCTTCACCTTCTGCTCACTCCCGTTGGCAGAAGGGTTTCCAGGGGCTGGGGAGCCAGACCTGGAAGTTGCCCTCATATCCCACTGAGCAGAACGGGGTCACTTGGCCACACCTAGCTGCAAGGGAGGCTGGGAACGGGAAGCTATATGATGAGTGGCCGTGTGCACCCACGGAGAGAGCGTGTGTTCGGCCTCAGCTGGCCTTCTCCATGACAGTATGCAGGCCAGGCTGGGGCTTGATGCGGAGTGATGCCCACCTGGCACTGAGTTCTGGGGTCAGGGCACCTGGGCCTGAGGTGAGCTTTATCATGAACCTGTCATGGCACCTGGGACAAGTCACTTGTCTTTTCCGAGCCTCGATTTCTCATCTGTGCATGGATTTATCCACACTTACATCAGAAAGTGGTGAGGAATAAATGAGATCGTGCACAGGACAGAAGCCCCATGTCAGCCGGCATGCAGTAGGTATGCATCTCTGTTTCCTCCGGTCCTTTCCTCCCAGGGCTGTTTTAAATCGGTGTTGGCACTCGTTCTGGATCACACTGCACAAGCATCCCAGCTCCAACACTTTGTAGCTACAGCACCTTGAGCAAGTCCAGTGTCAACCATGGCCTCGGCCCCCGTAAAATGGGATAACAGTTCCTACTTCTAGGGTCATTGGGAGGATTGAGAGAAGGGCGGGTCATGTGCTAGGCCAGTGCCTGGCATATTGTTAGTGTTTGTTAAATGGTAACTTGTCCTTTTATGAAATATTAAAAAACTGTGGAATACCGAAAACATTTCAGAAATGCATTCATTCAGAAGCAAAGATCAGATTATTTATTTTGTCCTCATGGGATGGAACAGCTCCTCAGCGGGCAGGGCTACGGGATGAAGCCCTCCCCATGCAGCTCCATTCTCTCGAAGATGCCAGTGTAAGGTGCCGTGGGGCCGAGGCTCCCTCCCCATCATGGTAACTTGTAGAGTGGGCAACATGCTCGCTCAGCCTGTAATGAGATAGGAGCCCTGCCCTGCCCCCCTCCCCTGCCCCCCTCCCCGCCGCCCTCTCTGCGTGTCAGTCTGAGCTGGATGAAGGGGTGTCAGCGCCCCAGGGCATGGGAAGACCGTTCAGACAGACATAAAATTGATGCTGACCAAATCCATAAAGAGTGCAAGGAGGCTACACAGGCATTTCCTTTTTTTCTTTCTTCCCCCCCCCTTTTTTTTTGCACCTGCAATTTCGTGTATGTTTACTGGACACTGCCACTAATTAGCTTTGCTTGGGAAGTCACCTCCCTTATTTGTGCTGTCAGCTTATTTGCAGTTATATTTAGGATTGAAAAAAAAATCAACCAATGAATGCTTTTTTTTTTTTTTTTTTTGAGTGTCAGGAATATTTAGAGAAACATTTTTACAAACAATGAAGCAACCTAGAACAGTTCATAAAATTTCCCCTTTTGCTGGGCCACCTGGATGGCTCAGTCATTGGGCGTCTGCCTTTGGCTCAGGTCGTGGTCCTGGGGTCCTGGGATCGAGCCCCGCATCGGGCTCTCTGCTCTGCAAGAAGCCTGCTTCTCCCTCTCCCACTCCCCCTGCTTGTGTTCCCGCTCTCGCTGTCTCTCTCTGTGTGTCAAATAAATAAATAAAAACTCTTTAAAAAAAAATTTCCCTTTTGCTGATAATTGAGGACTTTCAGACAAAGCCCACATCAACATGGGTAGATCCTCTTATTTTTATTTTGCCTGATGGGTTCCCACCCACCTCACGTGACCTATGGAGGGGTGTGAACCAGGGCCTCCAGTCCCCGTATGTGTGTGGAGTCACAAGTCCTGGGGCCAGGTAGGGCACGACCTTTCAACTTTTAAAGCCTCATTTCCTCTTCTGCAAAATGGGATGAGCACGTCCTCCTGACAAATTTTGGATGTGTTTCACAAGGATGAGAGATTATACAAGAAAGCTCTGGGAGGCAGTGTTAATTAAGCCTGAGGATTCAAGCCAGGGCCACCGGGTTAAAATCCTGGCTCCTTAGCACGCTTGTTCTGGGACCTTGACACATTACTTAGCCTCCCTGGCCTCAGTGTTCTCATCTATAAATGGGGATCGTTGTAGTGCCTACCTCATGGGAAAGTTATAAGGCTCACGTGACTGAGAGATAAATCCCCTAGACAGTATTTAGCACAGGAGGCCCTCTGGTGTGAGCTGCCATTATTATTACTATTACCGTGTCCAGTGAAATGTGTTCCTGAGAAAATTTACGTTAACATAAATATAAATAAAATTTGTTAACTTAATTCCACATAAAATTTTATAACATATTACATAATTAACATAAATAAACCAAGTTTATATGAAGACAATTTTTCTGAAAAATTGTGGTTGAGCAATTTTTGTGTTCTTCATTTTTAAATGTTCACAAATCAAGGTGTGATGTATTTTTGAGGGGGTAACAGCTTTGTTGAAATACATCCACATACCATATGCACCCATTTCAAACATACAATTCAGTGTGCATGTGTTGTGAAGGGGAGCATTCCGGGGTTCTGGAATTCCTCCGCCCCAGCCTCCCCTGGCCTTTCTGCGGGCACATCCCAGGTGCAGAGCAAAGGAGGCTTCTGTCTATTCAGTTTTCTTTTTTGGGGATAGCGAGGCCCCGGAAGGACATGGCTCGGGATGTGTGGCGGTGACCCTGCTTGCCTTGCTTGCCTCCCCAGAACACCTGAAGGAGCGCTTGGCCGATGAGCTGTCTGGGCTGCCCAAGGTGCGTCTCATCCGTGCCAACAAGAGGGAGGGCCTGGTGCGAGCCCGGCTTCTGGGCGCTTCCGCGGCGAAAGGCGAAGTGCTGACCTTCCTGGACTGCCACTGTGAGTGCCACGAGGGGTGGCTTGAGCCGCTGCTACAGAGGTGAGCGTGCAGCCGGGAGCCCCACATGGTGCAGAAGCAGAAACTTCTTACCTGGCCATAGGGAGCTGCCGGGCGCCTGGGTTCAGATGCTCCTTGGGCAGTCCTCTGTCACTGGGCATGATAACAGTCCATGCCCCACAGGGCTGCGGAGGCCATTCAGTGAACTAATACACATACAGTCCTTAGAACATGCTAGCATGTAGGAGGCCCTATGAGTGTTTGCTTTTATTCCTACTTATTTTATGTGTTTAGTGTGGAACACCTTAGAAAGTATGATCAACCAAGAAAAAAAAAAATCAATCCTATAGAATTGCACTGCTAAAGAATATATATTTTGGCGTATTTCCTTCAAGCAAGGCTGTCTTATCCATTATACCCAGTGCCTACAATGCTTAGGACCCATGAACCTTTAACAGACCCACAAAAATGTTTTTGCAGTAATTGTTTTTTTCAATCAGAAGGAAAAAATGAGTATCAATAATGACTGTACAGTAATGAATTTAGCCTGGATGGTGTTCGTCCTTATACCAACATAGTCGTAAAATATAGTTTTAAATATATGTATGTTTTATGGAGCCATGAAAAGTCATAATACAGTCCTGTCTTCAAGGGCATGTCTCCTGCTGTCCCACAGTGTCTTACCTTGACCCTCCCAATCTGCCTGTCCTCCAAAACTACAGTCGCCGGGCCTTTTGTTCTCTTCCCTCTTTCTCTCCCTACTCTCCCGATTCTGCATCATAGCGGTCAGGAGCTGGGCTGGCCAACTCGGAGCTCTTCCAGGTGGGGGAGGAGGGGCCGAGGTGGGGGGTCTGCATTTGGTCCCTCCCTGTGGAGCTGGCAAAGTGTTGGAGGACCAAAGTCTCTGCAGTTGGCAAACTGCTTTCCCATGGCCTCTAGCACTTTGGTTGCCGGAGTCTGCCTGGAAGAACTGGGGACCCACTTGCCTCCCTTCCTGTGTGAAACCAGGCTGTCCCCTGCTCTGCCACTTCTGCTGTCCTCGGTCCTGTCCCCTGTGGGTGCCCCAGCTGCCTCTTTCTCCTCCTCAGCTCAGCTGAGCTTCACTAGCAGCAAGGACCCAGGGTTCCCCAAGCCTGTGATGGAGTCTGAGGTTATTTAGAATATGGTGACAGCTAAGAGTTCTCTCTGGAACCTGGACCGGTGGTTTTGCCCTCTGCCCCCTCCCCATGTGCACAGGGTTGGCTGCGTTTAGGCCGGTCTAAAGGCAGCCGATGCGCTAACGCTGCCCAGAATTCCTCTCTAGCCCATCCCCTGAGGGCAGCAAGGCAGTCCTGTCCACAGACAAGTTCCTTGTTCCGTATCTCCAGACAAAAGCACCCCATCTGGGGAATTGGTAAAACATACCAACTCCTGTTCTCACGGCAGACTCTTTGGATCTGAATCTCTGGGGGTGGGCCTGGGCTTCTGGATGTTTCCGGCGCTCCCCAGGGACCTCGGTGGGCACCAGAGTTGGCACACACTGGTCCCTTAGACAGTCCAACAGGAACAGTAACCCCATTCCTCCAGGGGCTTTTGGATATAGAAGATGTTCTTTGGTTCTCAAGTCAGGTGAGTCGTGCTCCTGGCGTTTTTCTGAGCTGGGGACTAGGGATGCCGGACAGCCCACAGTGTGCAACTCAGCCCCGCACAACAAAGAATGGTTTGCCCCAGATGCCAGTAGCATGCCTGCCCCGCCCCCCCCGCTGTGGGGCGCACTGCTACTGGGCCTGCTCATTGTGTGACCGTGCTCCAGGGGCCTTTATGCCAAGGCTGGCTCCCCCTAGTTCTCCTTTTCCTATAAAAATTAGGCTCCCCATGGTTCTGACCAGCTTGATTCCAAGTCACAAGTTCTTGTCTCTGCCAGGGGCTAAGTAGCTTCTTTGAACCTGCCCAGCGGGTCTGCCGTTGGTCCCCTCAAGCCCTTTAAGAGCACCCTCAGTTTATTTAAAGAATTGGGTGTTGATAGGTACCTGGTCTACGTCTCCCTCACTTTAGAGAATTCCCAGGTTTTATTCATGCAGTCTATCCCAAACAGTGCAATTTCACCTAATAGTGTAATTCTTACCTAAGTGTGATATTCACAAAACCCCCTCTGGTTTTCTGGTATTATTCTAAAGACACAGCTCAAGTCTGCTTGATCTCTGTTTCTTCACACCCTTGCTCTGTGTGACTTAGGATTTTTAGGTCTCAAATCCCAGAGAAAAGCCCCTGAAATGTAACCCAGAGAAATCCAGTGTTCACACACAGCCTAGTCCCAGTTCATCTTTCCTGGTGTGCCATCAAATGCAAAATACCGACACGACATGGCAGCGTGCTGAAGGATGCTTGGGTCTGTAGCCGTGACTGGAGAGCCGCTGAAGCAGACACACGGGCTGATATCTGCGGCGGGAAGTCACAGGGTTTTTCGCTGTAATATCATATAACATTGCACAATAACAAGAATTAAAAGAATAGCAATAGTTCCAGGTTCTCTGTCAACCATCTTTTACAAACATTCCCTCAGGGAGTCCTCACATTAACCCTCTGAGTAGGTATCAATGTCCTTGTGTTACCCACAGGGATTAGGCTCTGAGAGGTTAGGTGACTTGGCTAACGTCACACAGCAAATAAGGGGCAGGATTCGAATTTTTATTCGAGTTCCAAAGCTGATCCTCTGGTCTGGGTGCATCTCTGTTTTGAAGGGGGATAATTATTTCTTGACATGAAGATGCTTCATTGCGATTACATGAAGAAACCTCTTGCCGTCTTTAGAAACTGAAAATCTGTTTTCTGTTTTAAAAGTGACCTTTGATTTTCACATGTCTCGACTTTCATGGAGGGATTCAAGTTTATGCAGAATAGCCATAGATGGAATTCAGAACATGAAAGCTATGGGACCTTCCATCTTCAGGCCAGAATCCTTCCTTCCTCAGCTTCCCCCATCACCTGAGCATTCCCTCTGCTGAGCACCAGCCAGGGCCTGACATGGCTACAGACACCTGCAAGAGAAGGCGCAGGCCTTCTCACACAGGCTAGGAAGGAGGAGGAGAGTTCATCCCCAAGCTCCCTTCCAAAGATGGTCCCCCGGCCACCTCTCTGCGCGGAGAGGCACATGGGGCATCCTGGTGTTCGTAGAATCCACGAAGAGGAGTCGGCGGTGGTATGCCCTGTGATCGATGTGATCGACTGGAACACGTTTGAGTACCTGGGCAACTCTGGGGAGCCTCAGATCGGCGGCTTCGACTGGAGGCTGGTGTTCACGTGGCACGTGGTCCCCGAGAGGGAGAGGATGCGGATGCGGTCCCCCATTGATGTCATCAGGTGAGGGGTGACTTCCAGGCGCTCACTCTTGGAGCATGCCTTGTCGCATCTGGCTGCTGGGTCAGGGAGTCCGCCCTTGGGAGGCTGGTTGGCTGTTGCTCCCTTGTTTTCTCCAGAGCATTTGCTTACTTTTATTAAAAATCTTCGCTACACACATGAATTTTATATTGGTATATTTTATTGATTTGTTATTTAAAAAACTGTGGTAAAATGTGCATAACATAAAATTTCCCACTTGTACCATTTTTGAGTGTTCAGTTCAGTGGCATCAAGCACATTCACAATATTGTATAACCATCACTTCTGCATACTTCTAGAACATTTTCATCATCCTATCCAGAAACACTATACCCATCAAGCAATGACTCCCCTTTCTCTCCTTCTCCAACTCCTGTCTACTCTACTTTCTGTCTCTATGGATTTCCCTAGTCTAGATTGCTCATTTAAGTGGGATCACACAATACTTATCCTTTTGTGTCTGGCTTCCTTTACTTAACATAGTGTTTTCAAGGTTCTTCTAGAAGCCCATTCCTTCTTATGGCTGAATAATATTCCACTGTATATACACCCATGTTTGTTTATCCATTCACCTACTGATGGACACTTGGGTTGTTTCTACCTTTTTTTTTTTTTTTTAAGATTTTTACTTATTTGACAGAGAGAGAGAGAGAGATCACAAGTAGGCAGACAGGCAGGCAGAGGAAGAGAGAGAAGCAGGCTCTCCGCTGAGCGGGGAGCCCGATGCGGGGCTCGATCCCAAGACCCCAGGATCATGACCTGAGTCGAAAGCAGACGCTTAACCAGCTGAGCCCCCTACGCGCCCTGTTTCTACCTTTTGGTTATCGTAAACAATGCTGCTGTGAATATTGGGGTACTGTTATCTGTTTGAGTCCCTGTTACCCATTTTTGAGGGTGTATACCTAGGGTGAGTCATATGGTAATTTCAAGCTTAACACTTTGAGAACATGCTGTCAGGCCCTTTTTCAACTGGGGGATAGGTGGGCCTGGGGCTGAATCGGCCACCTTTGGCCAGTGAGTGAGCCTGGGTCTGAGAAGAGTGGGCTCAAAGGGGGCTCAGTTGCTCTCATTCTTTGAGGTGTTGAAGTAATAGTATGGCTTCTTCCTCTCCTTCCAAGTTCAGGACCAGATGGGAGGCAGATACAGGAATCAGGCAGATGGAGGTCAAACATCAGCTTTATTGCTGGTGTACCAAGCTGGAAATGGTGTCTTAGATCTGCACCCATGTTTGCCAGGTGGGCTTCTGGATCTTCCACCCAAGCTCTGACCCTGAGATGACTCACTTCTGGCCAGAGGGAAATGCCTGTGGGGACAGTGTTGAGAGATGGGGGAAGAGAGATGAACGGGGCCAAGCCACGTCCAGCCTGGAAGGCCAAGGACAGGGCTTTGGACTTTACCCTGAGAAGGTAGAAGCCGCCGAAGGGATTTGAGCTGGAAATTACCATTGCCTGTTGCATTCTTTAAAGGTTGCTGGGTGCCACGTGGTGAGGGGCCTGCAGGGGGTGGGGCAGGGGGCAGGGACATCATTAAGAGGCATCGTAGTCTTCTAGGCAGGAAGGATGGTGCAGGAGAAGATGGAGGGAATGGAGGACCCCAGAGATGTTGCAGTGGAAGAATTGAGGGAGGCTGAAGGAGAATGGGGAAGGGAGAGGTTGGGTGATGCCCAGGCTTCTGTAGGAGCCCTGAGGGACATCCTACCCAACCTTTCACGGGTTTTTGTAAACTGAGGCTCATTGTAGGAAGGATCCCATCTAGGGTCACATATCCAGCTTGGGATGCTGACATGAACTCCCATGCCCCCACCACATGTGTACACATGAACTCAGGAATGTCGTGGGCAACTCCCCTTCCCTTCCTATAATATCCCTGGGCCTCAGTTTCATCACCTGTGAAATAGGTACATGCATATCCACCCTGCCTACTTCTTAGACTTTTAGGAATAACACACATGGAAGTGCTTTGTAGTCTAGAGCCTTCCCTTCCACAAGGAATCTTGCTGCCCTTTTCTCGTTGGCCCCAAGCTTGGAGCGCAGGGCAAGCCAATACTTTGTCAAGGGCCAGAAGTGCTGCTGGAAGACCTTAACATCTGCAGACAGTTAGACTCTTAATGAAGTATAGGTCTCCATTTCCGACCTTTTGCATCACATCTCCTGGTGTGTTGACCCTACAGCTTTCTGCTGTGGTAGGACAGAAGCCTTGGGCCCTTTCTGGAACCTGTAGTGGTTCTAGAGGAGGCTGGTGAGGAGAACATCAGGCCGGCTGAAGAAGCAGGCCAATGCTAGCCGTCTGGGTCCTACAGAGGAGGCCACTCATGCAGGAGAGGAACGGGCCCTGGGGGAGCTTTAAGATGATGGACTTGCCTTTCGTGGTCTTCTATAACCCTAAGGGCATCCGTGCTTGCCCGCCCTGTGACTGCACGGCCAAGGCCACCGCAGCCTGGTGCTAGCCATCCTCTTGGGGAGCACGTCTCTCTCCTTGACTTTCCTTGTTGTCTGTGCTTCTAGAAGGACAAAGTTTTCTCTCACCCTCAGGCCTTTGCTCATGCTGGTGTCTTCCTGGAGAACCATCCCATTCCTCTTCTCTGCCAACTCCCCTGTGTTCTTCAAGCTGAGCCCTACCCCCCACCCCAGGCCTCTTCCTGGGTGCCCCCGGGGCTCTGACTTGACCTGAGTGCTCTCACACACAGTGCCACTTGAGGTGTCCATGAGCTTCCCCAGGGCAGGGACTGTGGGACACATCTATGCCTTCAGGCCCAGCTTAGTGCCTGGCATGGAGTGTGAACTCAGGATGTACTTAGAGATGGATGGGCAGGCTGGAGGGCTCGGGGCAGGCAGGAGTTCAGCCGTGCTGGCTTCCTGCCGCTCACACTACAATACAGTTTTCACACTCTTCTAGGTCTCCAACAATGGCTGGAGGGCTGTTTGCTGTGAGTAAGAAATATTTTGAATATCTGGGGTCTTATGACACAGGAATGGAAGTTTGGGGCGGAGAAAACCTCGAATTCTCCTTTAGGGTAAGTATTCCAGTCTTCTCTTCAGACTCATTCTAACCTGTTCTGTCTCTCTGTCTCTCCCTCGGGGAGTGATGGGATTTTCCAGGAGACCCTGGTGGACTTTTCCCCCATGTTGGCAGATTTTATCTGACAGTGCTGAAAGATGATGGTAGAGGTACACACATCCCATAAACATGCTTGTCTTCTTGTCTGAACCTTTTAAAAAAAAAATGTACTTTCCATAGATTTGGGGCAGGGAAGGGCCTTCCAAGTTACCTAGTTCTTTTCTCTCACTACAACTGGGAGGAGCTGGGGCCTGGACAGGGGAGGTGACTGGGTCAGGGTCACCCAGATGGTGAGTGGCAGACCCTGGGCTCAAACACAGGCCCCTGTGTCCCGATTCCATCTTTTGGAGCCTTGATCTGCTTAATTATTCATGAAGTACCCTGTTTGGTACAGTGACTTTCCAGCTTTGCCACATACAAGAATTGTTAGGGAGACTTGCTTAAAAAGGGCGGATTTATAGGTACAGTCTCCAGAAAGTCAGGTTTGATGGATTTTCAGTAGGGACCAGGAATCTGCTTTTTGGAATAAGCTCACCTACTGATTCTGCTGCGTATGACCCACAGATGCCCCTTGGAGAGACCTCCAGCATTTCATTGGGGTTTCCAGTTCACCAAATCCTGCATTTTGAAGTATCAAAAAGTTATGTCAATGTCTATGCTTTTTAATAGAAAATTTTAAGTTTCAGTCATGTTTTATGTGGTTTCCTGCTTAGAAAGAGTTCATAAGAATTGGCCCTCCACTGAAGACTCACACCCCCCATTCTAAGTACCCTGGTCATACATCCTGGGGACAACGGGGTGTTCCCAGCCATTGGCCCCCGCATGAAATGGTCTCAGACAACTCAGCCTGTTGAGGTTTAGGGTGTGCTTTTAATGGTCTTTCTGCCTCTTCCCTAGGTGTCAGGCTGCTCTGCCTGCCTCTAGAAGCTCTTCCTTTCCCCCTTCCAAACCTCTCTTCTTACTTGCCACTTTCCTATCTTCTGTGGCTAGGAGACCAGGTAAAGAGCCTGTGTTTTACATGATGAGTAAATGGGTTCTGGTGAGGTCAGCTATGGGTACTCCTGTGGGTCAAGTGCATGAGCTTTAGTGCATGGACTTGGAGGTCTCACTTCCAATGGCTTATTCGTCTTCGGGGCTGTGTTCTTGCTCTTTGACTGCATTCTGTGTTCTGCGTGTGCTGGGGGAGGTGGCCTCCTGTCCCCTGGGGGGTGAGGCCCTGGCAGCATTCATTGTGATGTCTGTGTGCCCAGCCTCCTGGCTGTGGGCATTGTGGACCAGCAGCCCGCCCCCCACTCACCCACCGGCCTCCTCCCTGCTCTGTGCACAGATCTGGCAGTGCGGTGGGACCCTGGAGACGCACCCCTGCTCTCACGTTGGCCACGTTTTCCCCAAGCAAGCTCCCTACTCCCGCAACAAGGCTCTGGCCAACAGCGTCCGAGCCGCTGAAGTGTGGATGGATGAATATAAAGAGCTCTACTACCATCGCAACCCGCACGCCCGCTTGGTGAGTTCCCCGGCCCGCCTGCACCCCGGCTGGCCTCTGCACCCTAGCGGACCTGGCTCCAGAAATAGAGAATAAATCGGGCATCCATGATACCAGCATGGGAAACCTTTATTCCTCCACTTATAATAATACTTACAGTTGCTTCTCATTGGTCACAGTACTTACGGTCTGTGCGGTCAGCCCCAACCCTGATTTCCAGACTACTGAGCCACTGCTCCTGGGGGTCAACAGGGCCGGGTTCCTGCATGCCTTTCGCAGGCTGACATGTTTGCCAGCTGATCAATACATAACTTGGTTTCGTGTGTATCTCGGTTGGAAGACATTACGAAGTACACAGTGTCGATTCTTCACATCGGACTCACGGCCAACAGCACTGTAACGCGTGAATGAAGCTCATCTCACCCACGTATTTTCTCCATCAGGCCCAGCGCAGCCTTCTTGCACCTAGGAACACTAGCCAGCCCTTCAGTGCCGTGCTCGGGGGGCTTTTGACCAGTGAAGTCACCAACACAGAGCAGTAAAACCTGGAAAATGTGGCACTAGGCGGACCCTGAACAGGACACTTGTTGACAGGATGGGACTGAAATGTGACCTCAGCTAGGAGCGTCCCATGGGACTGCGATTTTCGGCTGCTCTGCGCGTGTTTGTGAATGACGGTGAAGGGGTTGAACCACAAGTACTGATACTAGGGTTACAAATAAACTTCAGCAAGCAGGTCCACTGCTTCTGCGCTGGCCAGCTCTGCAGGCCCCGGGACAGGGTGCCCACCAGCATCTGCATAACTGAGAGGGCCGCTTGGCAAGATGAGGTGTGCTCTAAAACCTCTCGATTCCAGCCACTTGATGAAAATCTCTTCTTCTGAATCCTTAGCAGCCCTTCAAGATAGCTATGAAATTCTCATTTTTTAGATGACAGAACTGAAGCTCAGAGAGCTTGCCCAAGGCCTTGTGGGCGATGCAGGCAGAGCTGAGCCTGGGGCGTGTGCCCTCCCAGGGACCCTTCTCCCTGCTCTGCAGAGCCCTGTGGACCTGCCCCTGACCTCCCCCTTGGCCCCTCTCTGCCTCTGGGCTCCAGGGTCGTGGCTTCCTCTGTCCTGCTCAAGGCTGCAGGGTGGAAACATCCACTCCTTCCCGTTGCCCAGCCTGGAAGCCCCAGTTCCCTTTTCCTGAGGGTTCCCAAAGAATAACGTGTTAGAGGGCCACCTCATATGCCTTTTGTCTGGATGCCCGGGACCCAGTGTTAAAATGGGTATTTGGTTGAAGGTGAGGACGCCATGACTCACCAAAGAAAGAACCACTGGGAAATAAGTAAAAAATCTGAAATTTTACTCAGCCATTTTCCTATCATTACCATTTTGCTAAATATTTAGCTTGTCAAATTTTAATACTTTAGCGTCATAGTGCATGGACAGTAATATGTCAGCGCTCAGCATCGCGCCCCTGGCCATGCTGAATAGACACTTGCTTTTATTCAGTTACGTGGAAGTTCTTAATCATCGGTCTGGTCCAGAAAACGAACCTTCTGCAAATATTTATCATCGTGGCACTTTGCACTCACCGCTCTAAGTATATATTCCGACTTCAGTGTGTTGAGCACGTAAGGTTTTTGAGCACGATTACATTGAGGATACTTAACCTGTGTTTGAAAGTGGATGCTCAGGTATCAGCAGTAATTCAGCACGTCATGGTGTACATACTGTACGGATGTTCCCTGGTCTGTGATCACGCGGCCCCAGGACTCGGCGGCTCCCTGACTTCACGACCAGGTGCTTTGTGTCCTTCCCTTGTACAGCCGGCCACACCTGCCTGCAGCGAGGACACCCGAGAAGGCAGATGTTTGTGTAACAGTCTCTCCCGCCACGGTGATGTAGCTGTGTCTGAGGCCGTGCAGGGCCCAGCACACAGTAGGTGTTCAATAAATGCTGTTGAGGAAGGGAACATCCGAGGAGATGGGGCTTTGACAGGAAGTTCAGGACCCGCAGGGACTCACTGTTTTTGCTGTTTTCTCAGGAGCCCTTTGGGGATGTGACCGAGAGGAAGCAGCTCCGTGCCAAGCTCCGGTGTAAGGACTTCAGGTGGTTCTTGGAGAACGTGTACCCAGAACTGCACGTGCCTGAAGACAGGCCTGGCTTCTTCGGGATGGTGAGTGAGGCGGGCCTGTGGCGGGCAGGGGCTTCCCTGATCGACAAATCCTGGCCAAGACAGGTCCCTTTTATGGGGACTGCTGGCCTTCCTCTCCCTCCTTCCCCTCCCTGCGTTCATGCACTGTCTTTCCTTCTCCCCATGTCTGGGCCTTGGGTCCAGAATGTCAGCACTAGAAGCCATCTCCAAATTGGTGAGTATAAGCCTCCCATTTGTATAGACGAGGAAACTAAGGCTCACTCAGTGCTTGCATGTCCAATGTCACATTACTTCAAGCTTCAGTGGCTGGACCAGTTAATAATCCCCAACTCAGGGATTCATAAAGGCAGTAGTGGAAGGAGAAGGGTCACTTCTGTTATTTCAAAGAACCTGAAAGAAATGTTTCTGGGATGAGGTCAACTAAAATGTCCAGTGCCTTTGGCTTTTGTGAGGAACTACACTAACTTAGGGAGGTCTCCTCTGCTGTGTGGTGTTGAGCAGAAGTGCCTGTGTTCTGTTCTCGAAGTCTGATAAATACAAAGCAGGACACTCTATGGTCGACTCATCTTCAACAAAGTAGGAAAGAATATCCAGTGGAAAAAAGCTATTCTCTTCAACAAATGTTGGGGAAATCGGACAGCCACATGCAGAAGAATGAAACTGGACCATTTCCTTACACCACACACAAAAATAGACTCCAAATGGTTGAAAGACCTCAATGTGAGACAGGAATCCATCAAAATCCTAAGAAACAACAGATGTTGGCAAGGATGTGGAGAAAGGGGAACCCTCCCACACTGTTGGTGGGAATGCAAGCTGGTGCAGCCACTCTGGAAAACAGTATGGAGGTGCCTCAAAAAGTTAAAAATATAACTACCCTATGACCCAGCAATTGCACTACTAGGTATTTATTCAAAGGGTACAAACAGTAATTCAAAGGGGCCCGTGCACCCAATGTTTATAGCATCAATGTCCACAACAGCCAAACTATGGAAAGAGCCCAGATGTCCATCGACAGATGAATGGATAAAGATGTGGTGTATACACACACACACACACACACACACACACACACACACAACAGAATATTACTCAGCCATCAAAAAGAATGAAATCTTGCCATTTGCAATGATGTGGATGGAACTAGAGGGTATTAGGCTAAGTGAAATAAGTCAATCAGAGAAAGACAATTATATGATTTCACTCATATGTGGAATTTAAGAAACAAAACACATGAACATAGGGGAAGGGAAGGAAAAATAAAATAAGATGAAAACAGAGAGGGAGGCAAACCATAGGAGACGCTGAACTCCAGGAAACAAACTGAGGGTGGCTGGAGGAGAGGTGGGTTGGGGGATGGGGTTACTGGGTGATGGACATTAAGGAGGGCACGTGATGTGATGACTGGGTGTTATATGCAACTGATGAATCACTAATTTCTACCTCTGAAACTAAAAAAAAAAAAGAGAAAATTGCAAGCACATTGCATGGAATGTAAGTTCTCCACAACTGTGAACTAAATCAGAACCAATTACATCTTCAGTCATCTAAAAAAAAAAAAAAACAAGTAAACACCATAAACACCTATCTCCTTAATATGTGCGGTCTCTTGATTGTTTTTAAGTCTCTGCCTCTTTTAATGAAATTTTCCCCTACTCACCCAACATATTTGTGCTTCTTAAGAGTATCTGTAACTTTCAGAATACTCCAACTTTAATATTTATGTGGAATTTACCCTGTGCTAGGCACTGCTCTGGGCATCGGGGGTTTGATGGTGGAAGGACAACCACTGTCCCACCATTAAGAAGTGTATTGTCTGTTAGGGGAATGGACATTAAATAAATAATCACACACACAGAATAAGTACAAAGCAGGCCATTAATGCATTAAATTCAATTTTCCTTGTGAAAATGTCCAAGCAGAGAGCATGGTGTAAGGAACCCTGTCCCGAAGAATCTAGAATCATCATGATATTGCCACTCTTGCTTTCTGTCTCCTCTGCTCCATCCTCTCTCGTTTTTCTTTGCTCAGGCTCACCCCAGGCATCCTGTCATTTCACTCCTGGTCACTTGTCACATGCACGTCTGTACGGACATGATCTTACAGGACCACAGACCATTTTCACACCCAGAGGAGCAATCATTTCTTCATATCCTTCACTATCTAGCCCTTATCAGGTTCCCCCAATTTTTCATATCTTTCTTGGGGTAGTTGGCTGGTTCCAACTGGGATCCAAACCCGGTCTACCATTGTGTTTGGCTGCCATGTCTTTCCTCCCATGGCTCTTTCAGCTGAGGCAGACCTCTTCCCTTTCTTCCCCCCTTTTACTAATACCTGTTGAAAAAACAGCATCTGTTGTCCTGTAGAGTGTCTCACCCTTGGAGTTACCTCATTGTTTCCCTGTGGTGTCTTTTAAACTGTGCCTCTCCCCACAGTTCTTAAACTGGAAATGAGGTCTAAAGGTTTGATTGGAGTGGGAATTGACCTTTTATGGCAGGAGCGCTTCACGGGTGTGCCCTGTGTTCCGACTGCGTCACGGGGGGGAGCACCTAACCTCTGGTCATCCTGCCTGTAGTGATGAGGAAGCCTGTCCTGGACCAGCTGCTCTCAGGGGCCGCTTCAACCTTCTCTCTCCTGTTTTTGGTGGCCGTTGATAATCATTGCCTAGACTCGTATTTCTTTTTTTCTTTTTAAATATGAAAGGCTTCACAGATTTACATGTCAGCCTTGCGCAGGGGCCACGCTGATCTTCTCCGTACTGTTGCAATTTTAGCATACATGCTGCCGAAGCGGGCCCTAGACCCGTATTTCAAATGGCATTGCCAAACGGTGCTTTTTCTAGTCCTTTCATTTCTTCTGTAAAGAAGAACATTCCCTTGTTAACCAGGACAGTTTGATGTCTACGAAATTTAGAGTTCATTCAGAAAAGGCATAACACATTTTTAAGTCTTTTTCTTTATTTGCCTGTTTTTAGGGTAAGAGTTGGCACTCCACTTTCCTCCAGCTGGGCGGAATGGGTTGTTTTTGTTTGTTGGCTCATTTGCTTCTTGGCTTTTTCTTTTCTTGAGCATCATTGTAAACCAGTGGGTTTTTATATGGCCAGTGTTCTTCAATCAATTAACCTGTTGTGTGTGTGTGTGTTTCTTTGATCTGTTCAGGTTGCCCATCTTTGGCTGTGAGAATCTCTTTATTTTGGCTTCTATGGTCTTGACTCCTTATAGTGGTTTGATCGCCTCCTTGATTCTGGTCACACTCATTTTCTACATCTGCTGCCATGCTTCCCGGAAGCCCCGACCCTTTCCGTGGGGAGCTGTGGTCAGAGCCCACAGTCTGGAGACCAGCGGTGGTCTTTGTCTCTAGGGCACGCTCCACAACAGAAACGTAATGCTAGCCACATAAGTAATGGGACATTTTTTAGTAACCATGTTTTAAAAAAGGAGCAAGTGAAGTTTATAACATATTTAATTCAGTATATCCTCAATATTAGCATTTCAACATGTAGTTGATGTAAAAATTTATTGAGATGCATTACTTCTTTTCATACTGAGTCTTGAAATCTGCTGTGTATTTTATCTTTACAGCATATTTCAGTGTGGACTTAGTCCCATTTCAGGTACCCTGTGGCCACACACCACCAGTGGTACCACGTGGGACAGCACAACACTACAGCTTTTCAGTGGGCAGAGAAAGGCAATGCATATTTTT